CTTCTGAACGTCTTTATTATAATGCGAGGCTAGCCAAAGCCGGTAATGTCGCTAAGGAGACTTGGGCTATTGTAAATGACTTAAGGAATATGACTTCTTCGTCCGGCACAGTCTTTAATTCCCCCACCTGAAGATTTAAATACTTACTTTGTTAATGTGGCTAAAAATTTAGTGAATACCATAACTCCTTCCCATGATTCACTTTCATATCTCCCTAAAGCAAATGAGAATTTACACAGTTTCTTCCTCACGCCCGTAGCATTAGATGAGCTCCGTAGTACAATTAATAGTATTAAAAACAAATCCTCATCTGGGACTGATGGGCTTACTCTCAAAATGTTCTCTGAACTTCCTGAACGCACATTAAACCATCTTACTACTTTAATTAACGAGTCATTCCAAAAGGGAGTTTTTCCAAACTGCCTTAAGACAGCAATAATTATTCCTCTGTATAAAGGAGGTGATACAGATGAAGCTTCGAACTATCGCCCAATTGTGTGCACTCCTGCCCACATTATCTAAGATCATTGAAAGATTGGTTAAAAAAAAGTTTCTATCTTTTCTCCTTAAATATAAAATACTTACTACCCATCAATTTGGATTTCTAAGTAACAGTTGCACAAATGATGCTATGTTCGACCTTTTTAATAATGTATATTCTAGCCTGAATAACCATCACTCTGCAGCTACAATTTTCTGTGATTTCTCTAAGGCTTTCGATTGTGTAAATCATAATATCTTAATTAACAAATTGCAATACTATGGTTTCAGGGGAGTGCCGCTCGAATGGCTTAAGTCATATCTTGGCAACAGAAGGCAGCTTATGAGGATTGATACGTCTATGTCTTCTTGTAAGCCTATAGAATGTGGTTTCCCTCAGGGTTCAGTACTTGGCCCTTTTTTTTGTTTCTGGTGTTTATCAACGACATTGCAAATCTAGACATTATTAGCGGTAAAATCTGCCTCTTTGCGGACGATACTAGTTTCACTTGGAGCGGCCCAGATGTTGCGGCACTATATGATACTATATCCAGTGACTTACGCACCATTAAGTCTTGGTGCGATTCTAATCTCATATGCCTCAACCTATCAAAAACTAAAGTTTTGTCATATAAAAGTATTATACAACATTTTGTACTTAATAACACTACTATTGACGTCGTGGACTCTGTGAAATTCTTAGGACTTCTTGTAAACAACTCATTAAAATGGGACTTTCACATTGAAGCTCTATCAAAGAAACTAAGCGCTGCCTGTTTTGCGCTAAGATCAGTTTCTAAGGAACTTAACTTCTCAACCTCTAGAATAGCCTATTATGCCCTTTTTGAGTCACATCTTCGTTATGCCCTTCCATTCTGGGGTACTTGCTGCGCAACAAAATTTGATCGTGTTTTCAGACTTCAAAAGAGAGCAGTTCGATATTTATTGGGACTGAACAGTAGAACTCACTGCCAGAATTTCTTTAAAAATTTGAAAATACTGACTCTTCCTTCTTTATTCATTTTTGAATCCCTTTGCTTAATCCGCAAGCACATATCTGCTATTCCCGAAAGGCCATCTCATAACTATCCACTTAGGAATGCAGAGCACGATCTTTATCTGCCAACCCCGAGCTCAGAACTAGTTAAAGGTTCAATACTGTACAATGCCAAAAAAATGTACAATCATCTGCCTTTGAATATCAAATCGCTTTCATTCTTTCCCGCATTTCGCAAAGCTCTAAAATCATACCTACTGGAGAGAGCCCTATATGCGGTAAACGACTTTTTTGTTGATGTTTAATTATGAACATTTTGAATTTTAAAATTTTGATCATATCACACACTGGTCAAAGGTCAAGTATTTAATATTTTATAACATTAAAATTATATCTATTTACTGCGTACTGTTCTAAAATTGTCCATGTATATTCTTTTTGTAATTTTAAAGACTTAATTTTTTTTAAATTGTATTATTTGTATTGTGTATTTTTTGTTGTTTGTATTTTTTTGTGATTTTGTTGTTTGTGAGTGCTTTGTCGATGAAGCTGTTTTGGCTTTTTGCACAATAAAGCGTTGTTTTGTCTTGGTGACCTTCCAACGTCATTGTCATTTATGCCTAGGCATAAAAATAAAGCACTTTACGCCTAAGCACAAAAGTACAAAAATATATTATTAAACTGATATTAGTGTCAAATTCAATGAGTGATGTATAAAAATTGTTGCCCGATATATAATTCCTTACAAGGTATTACTTTGTCTATTATTTGCAATTGATTCAAACATTATTTGACGTTTTAAAAAAATGTATGTTCTATTCGAAGTAAAAATGTACCTTTTGTGCCTCCCTGTAACGTCGGACTAGCTTTAGGCTGGTCCGTCAAACGTACAGCATCGTTAAAAAAGTTTAATTTTTACTCCTAATAAAACAATACACTATTGTTCGCAAATAGTCTTAAGTCGAGAATGAAATTAGTATTATCTAATGCTAAAGTGTAAAGTACTTACTGCAGATCGAAATGTCGATGTCGGTAGAAATTTGAAAGCTAGAAGATAAATTGAAGAAGGCAGTTATCTTGTTTCTTTTCAAGAAAGATATAAAAGAGCGTATTTTTGACAACGATTATAGATTCTCGGGAATGAAGATATAGTCTAACATCAGAAGAACCTAGTTCTGCACTAGATTTTGCGAATGAAATGTATTCGAACAGCGGATTTTTGTCACTTGAACATAAATTTCAAAATAAATCTCTACCATTTAGAGGCCTAATGGATGAAATATTTTTTATAGTTTTCTAGGACACATTTTTATAACTTTTACAATGATTTCTCGATTTATTATAAAGTTTTAAAAAAAGTTGATTGTTGATTTAAATCACATAATAAAAATAAAAAAAGTTACTTGATTTAAATCACGCAAAAGGTAGTAGTAGGTTTAAGTGATTACAGTTTTACAAGTGATTACAATTTTTTTTATTATACAGGGTGGCGCCTCTCATACGCCTCGGAGGCTCCAAGGAGAACGACAGTTTGTATTGAAACGAAATTTTGTTAGCATATACATATGTAGGTTAATTTAGAGCACTTTTTAAAAATATAGGGAGTTCTACAGGGTGTCCCCAAAAAAGTTACATATCAAAGTTGTGTTTTTTGCAACGGAACAGCCTATATATTAATTGATTTTCGGATTCTGGGAGAAAAATAAAGGTGAGTTTTGTAAGAGAAGTATATGACTAAAATGTAAGCATTTTCTAGAAACAAAGAACAATTTTTAAATTACAATAATAGCTACCTAAATTGGAATTTACCCGGTATAGTCTAATATGCAGTTGAATTAACTATTGTACTATAAATCAAATTAAAACATGATCCAAAATTTATACAGGGTGAAACAAAGTTAATATTGAACATTGGTGACCTTAAAAGTATGTTACTCTTTTATTTTAAATGGAACACCCAGTATATTATTCCGATATTCAATGGAGAATTCATGTCTCTTCAAAATACTATTAAGTTTGCCTACCACTCAAACAAAGATTTTCCTAGATATATTTATTTTCATGATTTGATCTGAGTAGATCTTTATTATTTGATAAAAAAATCTAGGTGGCTGTGATATGGTCTGACATTACTTCAAGATAGCTGTCTAATTAGTCCAACTTTAGTCCAACTAGTTATCATTTTGTGTCAGTTAAAACAAAAAAAATTCTCAGAAATTTGCCAAAAATGCAAACTTATCCTACATCACAGAGAATTGATATGATTCTATATTCTATTAGTTAATAATACTTAAATGCTCTTGATTTTATCTAGTCTGGTTTTTTATGAGGATATGTTAAAGACACTGTTTACAAAATTACAACGATAACATGAGAGAAATTATTGTAGTTGCTTTTTGAGGTAGAACTCCACATAAAATGCCTTTTAAAATGAAAAGATCCTTTTGAAAAGACAATCATTTTATGCAGTTAACAGGAAAGGAAGCATTTTGAGCATTTGATTGATGAGTTAATTTTAATTCTGTAATAATTAAAATATGTTTTAACCGTGTATATTTTTATTACCCTTGAGTATTTTAGTCTACAATCTTTAATTTTTGTTAAATTAACAAAAGGTATATCACACAGCCACCTAGATTTTTTCAAATAATAAAGATTTACTGACGCAAAATCGTAAAAAATTAAAATATCTGGGAAAATCTTTGCCTGAGGGGTAGGCAACCTTAATGATATTTTGAAGATATATAAATGCCCCATTGAACACCGGAAAAATACACTGGGTGTTCCATTTAAAATAAAGGAGAAACTTGCTTTTAAAAGTGACTAATATTCCATATTAATATATTATTCCATATATTATCTGACCCTGTATAACTTTTCGGTTCAAATTTCAATTTGGTTTAACATACAATGGTTACTGTAATTAAATATCTGGCTATACAAGGTCAACTAAAATTTAGGTAGCTGTTATCGAAATTTAAAATTTACCCTTAATTTTCACAAAATGTGAAATATGTCATAATCCTTAGATTTTAGGTATATGATTCTTTAACAAAACTCACCTTTATTTTTTCCCTAGAATCCGAAAATCAATTAATATATAGGGTGTTCCATTAGAAAAAAACATAACTTTGATGTGTAACTTTTTCTAGGGACACCCTCTATAATTCTATATATTTTTATGAAATGCTTTCAGTTAACCTACATAGGCTGCCAAAACTTCATTTCGATATAAACTAAAACTGCCGTTCTCCTTGGAGCTTCCGCGGCGTATGAGAGGCGCCACCCTGTATTGTCTTTTTCCTCATTTTTTTCTACAGGAATATTTTAGACGAAGAAAATGGAATCTTTGATTTTTACGCAGTAGTATTTACAGAAAAATAATTATTTTATTTTGTAGATTTGATAGATGATGATAATTACTGTATACTACGGGTTTACGCCCTTAATTTTCAATAACAAGAGTATACCCTTGCGGTAATTCAGTTAAAACCACATCATTATCGGCATTTGTCTGTTACAGAATCCAGCCACCGCAGTGACCAGAGCAGCGGTTACTGGCAGCTGCAGCTGGACCGCGACCTCTTCGACACCATCTCGGCCATCTATCCCGAGTGGTTCAGGGGCGGCGGCGACATGACCGACAGCGGCGGCGGTGTAGGAGGGGGAGGGGGCGGCACGACGGGAGGCAGCCGGACGGGGTCCCCGTTCAGGGAGTCGCCCCCCAAGGCCATCATCGACACGTCGCCGATCCTGATGGATCAAAACAAAGAATGTAAGTAGTTTTCTGTTTGTAAACAAAGGTTGATAAATATTTTTAAAGCGTTTAAAGCTGGGTTTAGGAATAGAGTAAATTGAGTTGTGCTACAGAGCAGAAAAAGATTTATGCCGCATAATATGGGAATTTTTTTATTAGTGAATTTAGGTAAAAAACTGAAACACCGAAAAGGTTAAGTTGAACAGGTTTTGCCTTGCTGTACGTTGCTCTAGTTTTGTATACCAAGCAACTGCTCCATAAGTTCTTAATATCCCTGTTCCAGAGAATTTTACTGTCCAGGGTTATTCCCAGATATTTGACTTCCTCTGATGGCAGTATTTCCTTTCCATCTAGATGGATTCTTTTCAAGTTTTTCAGACTTGGTTTTCTAGTTAATGGCAAAACCAATTCAAGTAGACATAAAAGTATTATAAAATTTTTTTAAGTAACTTATTTTAGCGGACTTTATTTTTAAAGAAAATCTAAAATTAAGATAAATAATTAGGAATATAAATTGATTGAAATCATGAGTGGGAGAGTTGTTCATAATTTGCTTCATGGAAACCATTTTTTTACAGCATAATTTAACTTTTCTGATAAAAAACTAATAATGTATTCAAAATGTTGAATAAACTAAATACTATAAATATATATAGAGAATTAAGTATAGAGAAGAACCTAAATATATGAATACAAGATAAATATTTGACTAAAAAAGGGTATACCAATCAGTTTTTTTTTACTTCTACAACGAGAATCGACTGCTATTATTACTATTGAACTTGAGTTCATACAACCGAAAAAAAATAAGACTTGGTAATCTTTTAACTTTTCTTTAAAATATTAAAGGATTCATTAATTTAAGAGAATATCAGCATTTGCAAGTCTAAATTTGATACTTGCATAACAGGAACTAACTTATATATTTAAAGTTTTTGAAAAGCTTTTGTGGTTTGACCATGGCACAGACTAAACTTTACAACACGAGCTCGAAAAACTTACTTAGATCTTTCTGACAAATCGGATATAAAGTTCTTTTTGTCTTTCTATTGTGTGAGAATAAATGGAAAGGAAACGAGACTAAGAAAAGGAATGACTTTAACCTTAAAACTCGAAACGTGGTCTGGGTGTTTCGCCACTAGAAGAAAATCTAGAAAATAGAAAAATATTTTTTGTAATTACAAGTGCATTGAACGAAAACCAATTTATACAAATCAAAAAATATTAGGAAATTAGCAAGGATAACTTGGGCCCGCGTAGCCAACAATAGAGGACATTGGACCCAACTACAAAGAGAGTATCTAAATGTTTGAGGTAGGCTACATCATAATTGGAAATGGTTGAATAAGCTGAAAATAATGATGATGATGATGACTTGAATCGAAATGAAAACAAAATTATAGGGAATAAATGACAACAATGTCAAATTGATTGATCTCAATCACTCCACATCATTCGTTCGATCAGTCATCCATACCACGATTGACAAAAGAAATTTCACTTCACCGTTAGGCGGTACAAAATTAGCCGGTTCAGCTAGTAATCTAATAAATAAAAATAGCAACTTATTCAATATGCATTAAATAGTTCCAATTGCAAAGTTCCGAATCCAAATCTCATTGTATATTTTCAGTATTTGACAATATATGTATGCGCTTTTCCACGCGAAAGTGGAACGAAAACAAAATAGAAAATACATTGCTCTGGGAATCAACACGATTTAAATCGATTTTTGTCGATCGTGATTTATTCTGTCTGTCACTCGTTACCTTCTAATACAATTGTCAAAAAAAACTCTCGAAAATATAGTACAATAGTAAAAAATGAACAGCTTACAAAAGCAATATTATGTCAATGCCTGTTGCGTAAAATAGTTTCTATTTATGTTCGATGAATATTTTCAAAAAAAAAACAAATATAGAAATATACATTTATATTTAACATGAAAATAAAAGACATTGAGGAAAAAAACCTACTTCCAGTCAAAACAATGAAAAAGTTTTTAAAAGAGATGTTCTAGAACGATATGGCATTTCAGGGTTGGCATGATTTAAATCAAATGATTTAAGTCATGATTTAAATCTAGTTATTTTTTTTTTTAATTTTAATCGTACGATTTAAATATATATAAAAAAATAAACTTTTTTAAAACTTCCATTAAGATGTACTTCTAAATCAACTTTTAAATTTTATTTCTTTTATTTTCTAAATTTTTTAAACTTTTTACTTCTTGCGTCAAAACTGTCATAGTGACACGTGTGATACAGGGTCAAGTTGGCCTTGGTCCAATCTATCGACATACCAATTTTCGACATACCAAAATTTCATTTCTCTTCAGTTTTTAATGTCAATTGGAGTGGTTTGAGAATTTTAATTTGTTAGTCCAGACGATGCCCAGAAAGATACTGCCAATATTAATAGAGCCACAAATCAGTCCAACTGACTAAAAATACTATACATATTGGATTTTTAGCCGACCATACCAACAGGTATGGTAGGCTATTAAGATCGACAAAAAAAAGTTTTTTTTAATTTCACGCAAAATGAGTTATTTGGGTCATAAATGACTTAAATACAAAATATTTTCATGGTGTCTGTCTGTCTGTCTGTCTGTCTGTCTGTCTGTCTGTCTGTCTGTCTGTCTGTCTGTCTGTCTGTCTGTCTGTCTGTCTGTCTGTCTGTCTGTCTGTCTGTCTGTCTGTCTGTCTGTCTGTCTGTCTGTCTGTCTGTCGTTCCGTCCGTCCGTCCGTCCGTCCGTCCGTCCGTCCGTCCGTCCGTCCGTAACACGATAACTCAAAAACCGCTAAACCGATTTTAACCAAATTTAGCACAAAAATTCTGTGGCACCCGAGAATCTGGCCATTAGTTTTTGGTGGGGGTGGGGGATTGGTAAGGGGTCCGTCCGTCCGTCCGTCCGTCTGTAACACGATAACTCAAAAACCGCTAAACTGATTTTAACCAAATTTAGCACAAAAATACTGTGGCACCCGAGAATCTGGCCATTAGTTTTTGGTGGGGGTGGGGGATTGGTAAGGGGTATGGGAGGGGGTTAAAAATTTTAAAAAATCGTAACTCCAAAATTACAATAGCTAGCGAAACGCGGTTTTCAATTTAAGATTAGGAATAATATTTGCAACAAAATTTGTAATAACATCAAAATCAGTCAAAGTCGCAGTTTTTGAGATATTCAGTGTTTCCGTAGTCCTTTTTTTAGAAAATCCGTGTGGAGAACTCCAAACTCCCATCGGACGCGACCCCAGGTGGCGGATAGGGGAAATAACCACGGACTAAAACTGGAAAAATTCCCTTACGTTGAAATTAAAAGAACTGCCTACCAACTTTTTTTTTAACATATTTTAGTATGGGCGGCTATACGTGCCTCCCGGCGCCAATTTTTCTATAAACTCATACCTACTTATGGATTAATTCCCATGTTAAATAAAAATTCTCAAAATAAAAGATACACGTAATCTGTTTTGTTGCCGCTGTTCAAAAAAATAGTAGGTGGGTGTTATAAAACATGCTATTTACAATACAAGAGATACTGCATCATCGCTATGCGTGAGTGCATTAGAGGTGATCTATATATAATTTTGGGCACTAAAATTAGCGGGACACCTTTGTAAAAAAATATTCCGAACTTATAAATAACGACGATAAAGTGAAGAATTTATTTGTCAATGGACTGGATGATATTTTTCGTACATTACGTAATCTTTATAAATATTATTTTACTCAAAATTTCAGAATTTAAATGTACTATCATGTAGAGCATCAAATATTGAAGTAATGCTTTAAAATTTTATGTTAGTATTCCAACAGAGCAGGCAGAACAAATAATTAATGAAATGTTCTGTCCTGTCGAGTATTGTTTATGTCCTTTTGTCAGATTCATTTCAGTTCCATTCCTGTTCAATTTTCTCCAACAGAGAGACAAATCTGTGACGTCTAAGAGAAGTATGATAATTCCGAAGTTAATAAGAATTTGGAGAAAAGAGATTTGAAGCTACCAAGATAGTCTTGCGAATCAGGTTTTAGAATAATGATGTTTAGATATATTCTATTAAAAGCTTATTCATGACATAAACTGTATTAAATTTTTTCAGAACTGCTGGAAATTATTATTTTGGACTAATATAGAAAATCTACAGAAAATATCCATATCACACTGACGCAACGGTGTTTTTGAGCAATTTTGGTTTCTAAATGAAGTAAAAAGTGAAAGCTGGGATATGTATAGGGTAATTTTTTATATAGGGGAAAAACCTAAACATTAAAAAGTGCGTTATCATGTGATTCTCAGTGATTTTGTGCTTCGTGTTATTGTTTGGTATAAAGAATAATTTATCAATTATTCTATATTTTTTGATATTATATTATAGCATCGTTTGGCGGTGGGATGTTCATTTTAAGTAATCGTTGTACGAAGAATTGGAGACTCAGACACATCATTGAAGAGTATGAAACATCGCTGAAGTTCATGCATCGTCGGTGTAAATATCTTTGGACTAATTGAATTGAGATTGATATACGGCTGAAGTTTACTACTGACTTAGCTAGTTTATAAACTAGTTGCATAGTATCCAAACTATCCAAACCGTTCTCCGAACTCCGAACTCCTAAGGAGCCGAACTAACCGTTCTCCGAACTCCTAAGGAGCCACTAACACTCCACTAACTAGACCAGAAGAGTTCTGCTTCCCAAGTGAAACCCAAGCTGGAAGACTTCATCCGTAGCCTGGAATGGGAATCCTCTAACGGTCTAAGACACTCGAAGAAATTCCTCAGGACTTGCGACTGAGAAAAATGAAAGATTTTCCTTGATTTAAGCAAGAACAATCTTCGAATTGTTACGGGGTTTTTAACAGAACACTGTCTCCTCAATGAGCATCTCAGTAGATTGATGCTAAGAAACAACGGCGAATGCAGATTTTGTGGGGAAAATGGGGAAACATCAGAACAACGCATCACTGAGTGCGCCGAGACGACAACCATTCATGCCATGAAGTTTGGTACGAC